CGGTTGGAAAGCCACCGCCACAGCTGCAGTGCCGTCGGGCCGATCGACTGCGGGCACGACGGGCGGCGAGGCGATCATATCCAAGCGCTCACTGGCCACGACGTCGTTCGAGGGGTGGCGCAAGCACGAGATAGAGCGATCCGCAGTCGACCCCTTTCAAGGCTTCTGCCCCACGACGTGGCACACGAAGGCAGGCAACATAGTGGTCATCTCCGCGTACATGCAGCCGAAGCACGGCATGAAGGGCGTCAACGAGAAGATGATGATCAGGTTAGCCAGCTTCATCAACATGATATCCGACCCGTGGGTTGGTCTGGCCGACTGGAACAACCCGCCAGAGGCATGGGCTGGAACCAAGTGGCTTCGCAAGATTGGCGGCCAGTTGTTCCTCCCTGAGAACACGAAGACCACGTGCAACCTGGGGTGCGGCTCCCTCATCGACTACGGGATCTGCAAGAGCGGGTCCGGCGGCTCCCTCAAGCTCGAAGCCGTGCCCGAGGTCCCCTGGAAGACCCACGTGGGCCTCCTGCTCTCCATACGTGCGGGGAAGCAGCACTGGTGGCACCGAGCTATGCGGATACCGAAGCAGCTCCCGACGGCGGGGCGAAAAGTGAAGAAGGCGGACCCGAACAGCAAGCGCCAGAAGTCGATAGTCGAGCGGCGCCAGCGCGCAAAGGCCAGACTCCAGGAGGAGCTCCAGGACGCCTACGAAGAGCCCCACAGCTGGCCGACCACGGCGGACACTGACAGCAACGACTCGGTGACTTTCGACATTCCGCTCGAAGTACGGCGTGCCGCAGCCGTCACGGTGGCAGGCCTGGGAGAGGACAACGAGGTGAGGAAAAAGTGCGCCGACTCGAACACTTCCCCCTCCTCCCACTTCCTGCTGACCCGCGACCCCGAGGCGCAGGAGCAGGTCGCCAGAGCGTTCGGCGACTGGGTGCAGACAGTAGAGAAGGCCACGCTCAAGCACCACGACATCCCCGAGACCGACTGGAAGCAGTACGAAGGCAGGGCCAGCGAGTACAAGATCACCTGGCGCAGGGCCCGTGCTGCCCCAGCCCGCGCACACATGCGGGATCCGATGCTGGAATGGTGGCACTTGGCCACGACGATCATCGCCAGATATCAGCTAATGAGGCGCAAGTTCGCGGAGCAGGACTATGTGCGCATGGCAAACATGATGAAGGAGCTGCTGGACGCTGCCACCGAGAACAACTTCCTCGCCAAGTATGCGGGGCCAGATGATAAGAGGGTCCTGGATGACTGGACCAAGGCCATTGCCGATTTGAACGGGCAGCACATCGACGCGCTCCAGGGCCTCCTGGAGATCGGCCTAAGGTTCCAAGCCCGTGCGGTGGGCATAGGGCTCGCCAACGGCAGGCGGGCTTTCGCCAGCTGGGTCACTCGCATGTGGAAGCAGGCTCCAGGTGCGCTTCACCGACATGTGAAACCAGCTGCCACTCGGCGAGACGAGCACTGCGGGGACGAGGGCAGCACCTACGCCACACCGTGCGAGATCATGGACCGCCGCGCCGACTATTGGGAGAACGTCTGGTCCGACTCCAGCGCCGACCCCAAGAGCATCCTCGACGGCCTGAAGTACGTCGCGGAGCAGGCCAAGAGGGAGGACGTTCACCCGCTCGAGCTGGAGCACCTCGACCACCTGCTAGCGAAGCAGAACCCGAAGAAGTCCAGAGGTATTGACAACCTCGGCCCGCTGGAGGTGCAACGACTTCTAGAGCCAGGACGCAGACAGATGCTGGAAGTCCTCAACCTCTGCGAGAAGCACCTCATGTGGCCTTACCAACTCTACACGGTCATAGGCGCGGTCGCCCCCAAGCCGAAGGGAGGCGACAGGATCCTGGGGTTGCTCCCGTACACGATGAAGGTTTGGTCCAAGCTCCGTCACCCGTTGAGCGAGAGGTGGAGCGACAAGCTTGGTGAGTTCTGGGACACGGCCATCAAGGGGAGCAGCCCGCTGCAAGCCTCACTGGCGAGGGCCTGCATGGACGAGTGCTGCTTCACCATGGGCATCAGCTGCGCGACCATCCTTTTAGATTTGGAGCAGTTCTACGACAGCATCTCCATCACAAAGCTCTGCCAGGCCGGCCTGAGGCAGGGCTTCCCTGCAGTCGCCCTCGCGATGGAGCTCCAGATCTTCCTCGCCCCGCGGTGCTTGAAGGAGCGCCAGTGGATCAGCAGGCCGATCAAGATCGGGAAGTCGCTAGTGGCTGGATCCCCACACGGCGGCAAGTTGGCGAAGGTTCTCTTGGGCCCCATCCTCCAGCGCGCCCACGACAAGTACCAGTTCAGCATCATGATGAAGACGTTCGTAGACGACACGATCATCCGCAGCGAGGGCACGGCCAGCAACGTGGAGACCACTCTGGTCCAAGCTGGCACCTCCATCGGCCACGACATGCAACTCGAGGGCCCCACGATCAGCCCCAAGACAGTCGTGGTCGCCAGCGCGAGCATCATCGCCAACAGAGTGGCGCGAGCACTTCGGGGAAAAGGCATTCGGGCCACCTCTGCCCAGGCTGCCACGGACTTGGGGGCCGACGTTGCCTCAGGACGGGCTCGCGCCAGGGCCGCAGCACGCAGGCGAATGGCGAAGGCTAGCAGGCGGTCCGCAGCCATTCACAGAATCAGGAGAATAGCCAGATTAAAGAGAGAATCGCAAGGTCTATGGAGAACGGGTGCCATGCCGTCTGGGACCTACTCACACCAGCACCACGGGCTTCCTGAATACGAAGTGTTACGCCTCCGACGTCAAGCTGCTGCAGCCGCCTCTGGAGTGGGACCAGGGAGATGCTTGACGACTGCCCTGGCCATCGAGTACGGCGACGACGACCCCGCTAAGAGTACCAGGCAACAGCAGATAGCAGCGTGGTTGACCATGTGGCGCCAGTGCCCAGGCATCCACGACAGGATTCGGCAATCCTGGGACAAGATCCTCGGCCGCATACGGAAGGCGGGCCAACGCAAGTGGAGGATCGTCCGAGGCCCAGTGGGAGCAACCATAGCCACCCTCCTCGAGATAAACTGGGACCCGATCTCGGCGACTCAGTGGGACACGGACGCTGGCAAGAGTTGGCTGATCCCAGCAAGGGAGGACGAGGACTTCAAGAAGCTGAACGCGGACTACTCGGAGATCTTCAGCGATATCAACAGCTCAGTTGACAGAATTCTCTGGACTCGGGCTTCGAGACATGAAGCAGGTGACGACCTCCACAGCGGAGGAGATTTCAGCATGATCAAGCAGGAGCACCGCCGTTTCGCCAACAAGGAGCAGTACAGCGAGATCGTGCTCAACACGGTGGTCACGACGGGCGGCCAGTGGACACGTACACGGATGGCTGCCGCAGGGTACGAAGTTTCCCCAACTTGCCCGAGATGTGGAGATCAAGATGAATCTATTTTCCACAGAATATGGACGTGCGCAGCCAACTGCGACCACGACGACTACACGGACAGCGACTTCCTCACCGCACAGGCGTTCGCGAACCACGAGGCCTCCCCGTCATTCTGGCTCCGCGGCGTCCCCGCGGCAGCTGACACTATACCCGTCTTCGACGAGACCCCACCCATCACGGACAGCTTCGGGGACATCTCGAGGATCCCACGCGACGAGGAGGGATTCGCTGAGATTTTCAGAGACGGGTCGGGCGGTGAGCATAGCAGTGATTGGCGCCGCAGACGCGCTGGCTTTGGTTTCGTTTCTCTGGCCCCTGGTGCTCTGGACCCTATCGTTGGTTTTTCGTCTTCCCTGGAAGGGCGGGTCCAGACGGTCCCGAGGGCCGAGCTCTCTGCTTGTCTCGCCGCCCTGGAGCGAATCCCAGGGAAGATCCGATATATGACGGACCACCTGGCCCTAGCCCAGGCCTGGTCCAAAGGAGTCCCGCTCCTCCTTGCTTCCTCGACCCCTCCCGCGAACGTCGACCTTTGGACCAGGATCCTGGAGGCTGCGGGAGATAGAGTCATTCGCGTACTGTGGATCCCTGCCCACGTTGAGGCCAGGGACGTGAATACCGAGGAGGCCCTTCGCAACGCTGTAGGCAATGCGTGTGCTGACGCACTCGCGGGCCTAGGAGCCCAGGCGAGCCAACTGAGTCGTCTCACGAATCCCGACACCGACCGCCGCGATGCCAAGGCCGCCCTGGTCAGACGACGGGCTCGGAGAGCTCTTGTCGCGAGTATCCTTGCCGATCCCTGGACCGCGACTCGGCCCGAGGCCCCTGTGGCCCAGCGTCTCCCCATCCTGACCAGGATTTTGCGAGCCAGCGAGCACCAGTGGCGGAAGGTTGGTGCGAAGTATTTCTGCACGGTCTGTTCCCAGTTCGAAACCAGTGAGTCAATTCGAGAAGGGTGCCAGTCAAGGTGCTGCCCTAAGCCCCAGGGCCAGGGCATCTCACCGCTTCGCGGCCCCCAGATAGTGTCGGGCAAGCTTTTGTGTTCGAGCCACAAGCTCTCTTTCTGGGGCCGCTTTGGATTAACGTTTTGCACGGTGTGTGGCAAAACTGCCACGTCCGACCCAAGGTGGTTGGTTGACAGATGCAGGGCCTCCCCCAAAGGTGCGCAAAACCTCGCGAGGATCGCCCGAGGTTTATATCCGCACGTGGGGGGGCCCCCGCAGCACGTTCGGGACGCCGAGATTTCCAAATACGTCCAGTAACTCGTCTGGCTTTGATCCAGGTTTCTTGGGGGCTCTGCAGGTGGCGTAAATGGCAAAGTGATGCGACGCCCTTCGGGAGGCCAGTAAAAGATCACGAGCGCCATCCTGCAGGGCTCCCCGATACCCAGCGGAGTCGACTGTCGTTGTCGCCCGGCATGCATAGTCCTGCATAGTCCTGCATAGTCCTCCTCCTCCTCCTCCTCCTCCTCCTCCTCCTCCTCCGTCTCCTCCTCCTCCTCCTCCTCCGATTTGCTATGCCGAAGGGACTGGTCGAAGCCAGATCGCCGGCTGGATTTCAGGGGCTTTCGGCCGCGCCCGGGACCTCCGGCCCGTGGCCTCCGCGGCCCGGGCGCCGTGCGGCCTCAGCAGCTCCTGCTCCTGCGGCGGCGGGGGCGTCGCCGGCGCGCGGGGGGGAGGCAGAGGCGGAGGAGGAGGAGGAGGAGGAGGAGGAGGAGGAGGAGGAGGAGGAGGAGGAGGCCTCCCCGATGTCTGTTGCTCCCGGCGTGGGGTCCTGCAGGACCACATCCCCAGGAGCAGGTCGAGCACCCGGGGCAGTATCGAAACGGGGCGTCGGACGGGTATCGCCTCCCAGGGCCCGACGCGTGAAAACCCTCAGATGTCGGCACTTTCTTGGCGATCAAGGCTAAAGTGGGATGGGGCATCGTAGTCCTAGATAAGCTTGGAGTATGAGGAGGCAACTACTGGGAGGTTTTCGTCGGAGGGAGGCAGAGGCCTCCTAGATTTGGCGGCGAGCGAGGGGGGCAAAGGAGAAAGAGGAGGCCTTCGCAGAAGGCGGCGGGACTTCTCAGAAGCCCCCTCGTCTTCAGAGGAGTTTTTGTCTGTCTTCGGGGAAGGCTTAGAAAACTTCTCAAAGGCCAGGGGGCCTTCCGAACATTCTGAGCAGGTAGAGGCCTCCCAGATGGGGTCGGAGCTTCAGGAGGCAACTACTGGGAGGTTTTCGCCAGAAGAATGCAAGAAGATTAAGCCCCACTGGGGGGCTGCTGCGCCGGATGAGGCTGCGGATAGAGCGGGATTGGGCCGGAGCAAGCGGAATTCAGCGGGATGAAGCACGAATAGGCCGGATTAAACCGGATTCTGGGCAGGGCAACAAAAAAAATTGACCTCCCAGGAGTGGCGTCCGAGGGAGTAGGTGGGGTCGGAGGATCGCGCCGCATCGGCGATACATCGGCGATGCATCGGCGATGCATCGGCGATGCATCGGCCATGCATCAGACATGCACTGGCGACGTCAGTGATGCATCGGCGACGTGGGCATGGAGAAAATTGGGCCCCACACTGAGCCGCATCGCAAGTGCATCGCCGCTGCATCGGCGATGCGTCGCGATCCTCCGACCCCATCTACTCCGACCCCATCTGCAGTCGGAGCGCATACGAGAGAACACGCGACAGGACACGATACTCTGCCGACGGTAACATGACCTCCAACAACCACAGACCACAAGGAGCACGCAGAGGACACGAGAAGGGATGGACAGGACACGCGAGTACCCTTGTGTTTGCAGGGTCGACCTGCCAATGCGCCCCGACTATAGTCGGGAGCGGCAAAGAGGGGGGTGTCCAAGAGGGGTGGGTGCAAATCATGACCGGCGGCATGTGCGCGGCCCAGCGGGGGGGCCAGGGACGTAATGAAATAAGAAGAGGCGCTATAAAATCTGGGGAAATATCATGGCCCCCGCCATGATATTCCCCCCCCCCCCCTAGTCATCACCCCCCTCTTTTCCGCCCCCGACATAGGAGGCCTAAAAGGAGGGGCACCAGCCGGGGCGCGGCGATGCACCGCCGACAGATAGATCGGCGATGGGCCTCCGGTGCCGAGGGCGCACGCTCCTCTGGGCGGGGTGGGCCTCTGCCGGGCTGCTCGCCGCCGCTGCTCGAGCAGGGGATCGACGACAGGATGGCTTTACGCCAAAAGTTGATCTTCGCGTCGACGTTATGAAAGAAATGCGTAGGAGTATTCGCAGATGTACGGGTCATCCTACGTATTCTCGTAGCCTCGGCGAGCAAATCAATTCTGAGGGTGAATGAATTTTGTAAGCGATCCCCCACTCGAACTGCTGGATCCGCTTCGAGACACGGGCCACGATGGACCCTCGGAGGGGTCTGGGGGCCAATTTTGGGCGGACTCCGGCCTGGGATCGGCGATGCATCGCCGACGGGCAGGCCTGAGCTGGATCGAATCGCGAAATCGCATCGGATCAAAACATGATCGGAACGCTAACGAATCGTCCCGAATCGAACCGAAAGCGGATCGCCGCGCCGGGCTTTGGCTGGCCCCGGCCGATGCCACCCGTTAGAACGAACGCTAATCGACCCGAAATCGCGGCCCCAACTGGCGAATCGAATGGCAATCGAATCGGATCGTGGGCGGCTGACAAGCCGAAATCTCCGACGACACGATGTTTTCAATCCGGGCAGTCCTTCGTCGATATCGGCCCTCGGGTGTTGTTTTCGGGCCCCGGAGCCATCAACATCCGCCGACCCTGTCGGCGTATGGTAGAGCCTGTCCCCGTCGTCGTCGCCGCTTCCCCTCCTTTCCCGAAGAGGCCGTTGACGCTGCTCCGTTTGACTCGTCGTCGTCGTCGCCGTCGTCGTCGTCGTCGCCATCGTCGTCGTCGTCGCCGTCGCCGTCGTCGTCGTCGTCGTCGTCGTCGTCGTCGTCGTCGTCGTCGTCGTCGTCGTCGTCGTCGCCGCTCCCTCCCCCCCTTTTCCTCGGTCCTCCTCCTCCCCAGGACCACCTCCCCCGCGGAAGCGGTCGGGACTGCTGTAGGGCCGCGGGTGGAACAGCATCACACCGAGGGATGTCTGGGCAGCTGCTCGAGCGCTTGCCAACCCCGCACAGGCCCCCGTTTGTGCCGTGGGCCCTCGGCAACAGGCCTGGCTAAGACTTGCTGCGTTTCTCCGGCGCTCGAGGCATCGACTCGCGCGCCGCATGCAGGAGAGCCCAGCGCCGAATCGATACGTCGGATCGGCGATCGAAATGAATCGGATCGGCGGAAATCGGCAGCCGAGGCGGGAAAAGTCGCATCGCAGACATCGGCAGGCTAATAGGCCTCCACTGAGAGATCGGATCCCGAACCGGAATCCGGCATCGAACCGAAGCGGAATCGGAAGCCATCGAAGCCGAATCCTCGCATCGACACGGAGGAATCGAAGCGAGCCCTCTGCGCAGGGTGGCAGGGTGCAGCCAGAGGAAACTGCGTCCCCGACGGATCGGCGAGAGGCGCCCGCCGATGCCGAGAGACCACACACGCTCCCGGGCGGGGCGAGCGCTCCAGAGCAAGAAGCTGCATGCAGGGCAGTTTTTAATACATGGGATTCTTAAGAATATAGGATTCTTAATACAGGATTGATGTATCAATAAATCTATGCATGAACTCATCGTTGTTTTTAATACTAAATCCTTTTGTTGTTTAATACATGATCCGCACGCGGAGCATGTATTGAAAACAGCACTGTCAGCACAAGCTGTTTCCGAGGTCCGCGCGGATCTCTTGGAGAAGCGCTCGACGCCCCTCCCTGGTGCGCAGAGCGCGCCCCGAGCGGCGCTGGAGGCGCCACCAGAGGGCCCAGCGCGGATCCAAGAGCTCTGCGCGGACTGGTGCGAACGACTACATGTATGGGTGCAACGTGCTCGCCTTCGACCGCAGGGCACCCGCCAGGGATCAGTGGGCGGCTTCTGCGCCCAGGCTTGCTCACGCCACGCCGGTGATCACCACAGAGAGCCAGCGGCTTCTGGCGGTCGAGGTCTGCGCTGCGCGGCGGCCGAGTGGGAGAAAGGGACCGAGAAGCATATGCGGAAGACGGCGAACGCGCCAGCCAGCGAGAGACTGGGGGTCCGTGCGTCCCCCCCCCCCCGAGCCCAGGGCATGCTCGTGTCGTGACGTGACGACCTCGATCGGCGCTGGTTTCCGTCACCGCATGGACCGCTGAACCTTGAAGTATCGGCGCTCCGTGCTGGGCGAACGGCCTTGCGTCGGGCTTGTCCCCCTGCAGGCGGACGCTGGGAGCAAGCATGAGCAGTAGTCAAACGAAAACACTCGGAAAGAGTCTCAGAACTGGTAGAGAAGTAATCCCCAGACTGTTGTCGCACTGTGCTTGGACATTCCTTCTGTCGAGGGACAGGCCCGACTCAAGAAAGGCCGAACACATTCGGAAAGAGTCAGAACTGGTGGACAAAACAATCCCCGGACTATTGTCGCACTGTGTTTGCACATTCCTTCTGTCGAGGGGCATGCCCGATTCGAGAGTGGCCGCCGGCGTCGGTCCAACCCGGAACGCCCGTGGTGCGGCCGCCCGTCGGCCCTCCCGGCGGCCCTCCCCGCCTCGGGCTCCGCCTGCGACGCCCAGGCGCCCCCCCCCCTCACCCAGCCGCAGGCAGGGCGAGCTTCGAGAGCACGTGGCGTGAGGCTTCGCCGCGAGCTCCCTGGGCGAATTCTGGTGATGTGAACTTCGATGTGGGCATGTCCACGCGTAATGCGGGATGACGATTCATAAAAAAATGGGAGAGAACGATTCAACACATAGTTTTCTGCTATTTCTGCAAAAAAAAAATCTGACTAGAGGAGAACAATTAAAAAAATTGTATTCCAGCCCGCGGCCGTTTTTTTCTAATCGTCATCCCGGGCGCCGCCGCGTGAACACGACCCCCGGTCATTTATTAATCGTCATCCTCCATTAAGTTAGGAGACAACTGCTGGGAGGTCTTTGTCGGAAGGGCCAAGGGAGAGTAGGCCATATCCGGGGGCCCCTCACGCTGGAGGGGGCCTCGGGATAAGCGGACTTGAGCCGGATCTGGCGGGACTAAGCGGGATTAAGCAGGATTACCCATCGGTCGTTGAAAGTAGGCTTTTTGGGATTCCCAGAACCCAATCTACTTCAAGCGCCTTCCTACTTCGAGAACTGATATGCTTCTGCTGCGTCGTGTTGCTCTCTGGGCGGACCTGGGCCCAATCTACTCTATCCGCCTTCCTACTTCATGCTTCTACCTACTTTATCCGACCGATGGGTAAGCGGAATTAAGCCGGAATTAGCTGGGTGTCAGACCAGGGTAAAAATCAGAATTTGAGCTCTTAGGAGCTGCATCCGAGCGTACGTTGATCGATGCAGCTGCTGACGAAGATGCGGATGCTGCCGCAGTTGCTTCGAGATTGCCACTCTACCCTTTGGAGGCGGCCCGGGGCTCTGAGCTGGCTGTGCCCCGCGGCAATCGGTCAAGAGGGGATGCAATGAAGGCACATCCGCCGAGAAATCAGGGCCCTGCAAACCCCGACACGCTAGACCAGGACCTCCAACATGCCTCGAAACCATGTTTGCTAGACGGCGGCACGACACAGAAACTGCACTGCAACACTTCCGGAATCAACCCGGACACGGGCTCTCAAAGCACGCAAAAACACACCCCCTAGACCCGGACAAGGACTCGAATCCCGCAGAGCAGCAGCAAGAACCTGCACTGGACGACCAAATCTGACATCATTGCAGGAAAGGGTGTCGCTTCCCCGACTAGCCAATGTCCTGGCTAGTCTGTTCGGGAGCGGTGTCCAGCTGATCTGTGTCCTGGTCTCCGGGGGCCCGGAAAAAAAATCGCCCCCCGGACCCCGGACCCCTCCCGCGGTGTCCAGCTGATCCGTCTTTGACGGTCCCGTAGGGCTCGGGAACACCGACAAGGGCAGAGAACACCTTCCCGAACCCAGCACCTCGAACCTCGCCCGCGTCCCTCCTGCTCGCCGGAGCCAGTGCCGGGCCACCTCGGACCCCCAGCCAGCTCCAACTTCTGACCGAGAGGAAACCGACGGCGTAGCCGGACTTATATTTCCCCTCGAAGGCCTTTCGATCCGTGTACTGCGCGCGCTTCCTTGGGATGGCCGTGCTCTGCCCCGCGAGACTCCCAACGCGCCAGCAAACCCACCCGGCTCAAGTGGAGTAAAAAACGGCTGCGTGTGAAAGAACAGAAAGTTCTAATTAAGAATCGACCGCTATAAGAAACAAGACAGAACGGTCTTTTCAGGGGAAAAACGGACTTGCCATTGAGAGCCAGAAGTTCTCTTCATCAGGACACGCTTTCCCCTCACCCCCAGACTCACAAAACGCCTCGTAACCATGGTGCGCGCATCATCGCCGCCGTGCTTTCCACCCACATATCTTCTCTTCCAAATCGCTGTCGATGTAAGAGCGCGCGCGCGGTCGATTTACACCGGGTCAACTTCTGCCTCGATTCGGCCCCCGCGCTCCAGGCCCTCGCAGCGGGCCTCCGCCTGCAGGCGGCGCCGGGACTCCTCCGCGAGCTGCTCCCGCAGCAGGCCGACGACCGCCCGCTGGGCGTCCGCGGCGGCGGCGCGGGCGAGCTCGGGGTCGTCCTCCGCCTGGCAGCTGGCGGCGCGCGCGTCGCCGACGCATCGGCGATGCGTTGGAGATCGCTCGTCGTTTTTTCGGCGACAGCCCAGGCTGTCCAGAAGGGGGGGAGGGGGGTGGGGGGAGGTTCAGGCCAAGAAAACCGAATCTTTTCGCTCTGGGCAGCCCCACGTGTGCCCCCGCGCATCCATGCTGCGCACCCCCTGCGGCGGGCCCGACAAGCCAGGTCATCGCCAGACCCGAAATGCAATCCCTTGGCGATACGGAGCCGTGCTCTGACCCAATCTGCTCGTACGGTCCGTCGCCAGGATCATCGTCTTCTACGTGCAGGGGCGGTCAGCATCGAACTAACAAATATGCTGGGCAAGGACCCAGCCATGTGCAAGTGAGAATGCACCGTTGTGGGCACCACTTTCGGTGGAGATCCCATAAACGGCAACGGGACGTTTGCAGACGTGTGCCGACATGGACGCTGTGACGCATGCTGGCCCTGCCACTGGGGCGTTCGGTGGGGCTCCCTGTGGGGGCACGGAGTATGTGAGGGGTGTACGTCGCGCCCCGCAGATGCGGATAAGAGTGAGGGGGCGGTGGGGACGTCGGCAATCTGCGAGACTCTGGAGAAGTCCGCCGCAGGCACCAAAGTTTCTCAAATCGTACAAAAAGCCCGCCGCAGGTTCCGATTTTTTCGTGAAACCGTTGTGGGTGGATCGCGGGTGTCGCAAATGGGTCGCGGCTAGGTCGCGGGTGGGTCGCGGGTGGGTCGCTGTTGGGTCGCGGGTGTGTCGCGGGTGGGTCGCGGGTGGGTCGCGGGGTGGGTCGCGGGTGGGTCGCGGGTGGGTCGCGGGTGGGTCGCGGGTTGGGTCGCGGGTGGGTTGCGGGTTGGGTCGCGGGTGGGTCGCGGTGTGGGTCGCGGGGTGGGTCACGGGGTGGGTCGCGGGGTGGGTCGCGGGGTGGGTCGCGGGTGGGTCGCGGGTGGGACGACGACAACAAACAAACAACAACAACGCAACAGCGCAACAAGCAGAATCCTCACCACGGACGCCCACTTCAGCCACGCACCCGGGGACAATGAATGACCGTTCGGCCCCCTCACTCTGACCGAAATGGGTTAGAAAACCGCTGAGCTCCCCCCATCGTGGAGCTCCCAGTGGAGCACCAGACGTGTGAGTGGTGCGCCGAAATTGGTGGAGAACTGCTTGCACAACCCATGTTTGTGGCGCCTCGGCGGAGCCCCCTTATGATGCCACGAAGCATGTGAGGGGTGTGCCGACATGGGTGGAGAACCGAAGGCGATATCCCCTGCTGGGGCCGGTGGTTGAGCTCACTATGGGGCCATGGCGCGTGTGAGGGGTGTGTCGACATGGGTGGAGAACCGCGCGTGAACGTTTCTTTTTCGGCGTTTCGACATTGGGCGGAAGGGGAGAAGGGGGGGTGACTGGCTCCGGACCTCTGCTTAATGCGACTGTTTGCAGCAATGCGTCCTACGGGGGATACTCCGCCTGCTTTGCCAAAAACAGCCAAGATCTACCCAAGATCTACTCCATGGAGGGTGGGGAGGGGGGGTGCGAGGGTTCGCGCCGATCGGCAAAACAATGAATACGAAAACTACTACTATTATGCGAAACCCCCTCCTGGGTGCTTCGGTGGAGCTCTCTATGGGGCCACGAAACGTACGAGGTGTGAGCCGAAGTGAGTGCGAGACCCCCCTCCTGAGCCTTCGGTGAAGTTCCCTAAAAGTCCACGCAGCGTGCGAGGGTTGTGGAGACCCACATTCAATTCCCCCCCGCTGGGGGCTTCGGTGGAGCTTCCAGTGGGGCCAAGAAGCGTGTGAGCGGTGTGGATAACAGCCTACAAACCCTCTCCCTGAACGCTTCGGTGGAACTCCCCATGGGGCCACGAAGCGTGCGAGGAATGTGTGGAGAACCACATGCAAAACTCAAACCAGGGGGCTTCGGAGGAGCGCCCTATGGGGCAACGAAACATGTGAGGGGCGTGGAGGACCATATGCAGAACCCCCTCCTGGGGGCTTCGGAGGAGCCCCCTGTGGGGCCACGCGACGTGTGAGGGGCGCGGAGCACAACATGCAAAATCCCTCCCTGGCGGTTTCGGTGGAGCTCCCCATGGGGCAACGAAACGCGTGAGGGGTGTGGAGAAACACATGCCAGACCCCCTCCTAGGCCTTCGATGGAGCTCCATATGGAGCCATTAAACGTGTGCGGGGTGTGGCGAACCACCTGCAGAACTCCTTCCAAGACTTCGGTGGAGCTCCCTGTGGGGCTACGAAGCGTATGAAGGGGTTGTGGAGAATCACATACAAAACCCCCTCCTGAGGCCTTGGGTGGAACTCCCTGTGGGGCCACGAAACTTGAGACAACGGCTACCCAAAATCAATTGCGGGTTGCGTCCAGCCGTGAGGGCTCCCCCCCTGGAAAACCAACTACCGCTGCTTCAACCAACACTCTGGACATCGGATCGTCGCAGAGTCGGAATCACGATATGGGCCGTGTTATGGTCCCCGCCTCGGCTATGCGTCGTAATATGGGCGGAATCGTGGTGCGGGTCGCGAGGTTTGGACCAATCGGGTCCTAATACCACCAGCCCTGTAGGGCGTCAGTGGTTTGGAGCGCTTCCTCTTCCAAGCCCCGTTCTTCCCCTTCGGGGAGGGATATATCACTGTTCACTATTAATATACACCCCCTCCCCCAGGCGACGGGGAGCCAACCAGGTACAATGCTGCCCCCCCACACCATCCCTTGTAAAACAAGCATGCAAACACACACTCTGCCTCAAAGTCGGAGCATGCGCAGCGAACCCGATGCGGCCTCCCCCCACCACCCCTGTCAAAAAAACAATACAGAGTACACTTGGCGGCGGCGGCTGCGGCGGCTGCGGCGGGGGCAGGGGCTGCGATGGCTGCGGCGGTGGCGGCGGCGGTGGCGGCGGCGGCAGCGGTGGCGGCAGCGGCTGCGGCGGCAGCGGCTGCGGCGGCGGCGATTCGGCAGCGGGGGCGACGGCGGCGGCGGCGGCAGCGGCGGCGGTGGGCGGCGCGGCGGCGGCGGCGGACGGCGGCGGCGGGCGGCGGCGGCGGCGGCGGCGGACAGCGGCGGCGGAGGCGGCGGCGCGGCGGCGGCGGCGGCGGCGGAGGCGGCGGCGGCGGAGGCGGCGGCGGCGGCGGCGGATTCGCGCCCAGTAGCTGCCCATCCAAAGGCGACTGCTGAATATGCTGCGGCTTGGGCCAGGCTCGGGTGCTACGTATGTGTTGGGAGGGCGGGTGGGAGTGAGCGAGACGGTTTGCGGGCGGGGAGGGAGTCTTGACCCCTCCGCCTACCCCCTCCCCCTGGACCTGGACGGGGGCGCGTCGCGACCAGTCAAAGCGTTCGAGATGGCCTCGGCGAAGAGGCAAACATTAGGTCGGGCATGTCCTCCTGCAGGCGGGGTTTAGACGAGAAATAAGACATCTTCGAACAATCGTTTCAAACATATCCAACAACATACCCCAAAAAAGCGTCCCCAGGCTATCTGTGTGGCTATGTTTGAATACTCCTTATGTAGAGGGACGGGCCCCACTTCAGGCCTAAAATCATTGTTGTTGCGAGTATTAGGTCGGGCATGTCCTCCTACAGGCGGATTTTGGACAACAAGAAGGGCAAATACTTAAAACATACTCCAAACATTGTCAAACATGGTGGGACAATCGTCCCCCTTTTATATAAAAGACAATATGTTGGTATGTCCCTACTGTTAGAGGAACAGGCCCGACTTCAAACCAAAACCACTGATGGTACGGAACGTCTGGCCTGTCCTCCTGCATGGGGGATTTGGAAGAAAACTTTAAACAATGTCGAATATACCCCAAAAGAATCAAACTACTAGAAAAATCGTCCACCTGTTATTATTTTTTTACTCTTTTTTGACTCTTTTTGGCCCCCTCACTCTTATCCGCAATTGCGGGGTGCTACGTAGAGGAACAGGCGTCTGGCATGTCCTCCTGCATGGGGATTCTGAAGAAAATCAAACAAGGTCGAAGCTACCCCCAAAGAGTCAAACTACTAGAAAAATCGTCCACACATTATTTTTGGACTTGGATGCTCGTTCTGGGGACCTTCCTGGAGCCACTCGCTCCACTCGTGCGTCGAAGCTGCGTCGAACGTCGGTCGATGTGGGTCGACCCTGAGGCCAACCTGAGTCGAACCTGAGTCGAACCTGAGTCGAACCTGAGTCGAACTTGAGTCGAACCTGAGTCGAACTGGGGTCGAACAGATCCGTTAGGTGGGCTCCATGAATTGGTGGTCTCCAAACCAGGTGGTGAGACACCCGGTGGTGACCCCGCTTCCCCAAAGAAATAAGTTTGGGTCACCACCGGGTTTGGGGACACGCGGTCGCCACGAGGTTTTGCGTTTCCTGGGCCAGCCAGCGCTCGAAAACCATTACCCAAATCGCCCAAAACTCACCACCGGGTGTTCTCACCACCACGTTTGGGGACCACCAAAGGAAGGGTCCCCGAAACGAGCATCGAATTGGACTCTTTCTGACTGCGGGCCCCGCCTGCGCGAGCTCGCGCAGGAAGTCGGCCGCGAAGCTCTCGCGCCCCCGGGAGGCGTGGGGCTCGCCGGTGCCGGGCGCGGGGGAGCCTTGGGCGGGCGCGGCGGGCGCGCCCGCGGTCCACGCCGAGGGGGAGGAGGAGGGGGAGGAGGGGGAGGAGGAGGAGGAGGAGGGGGAGAAGGAGGAGGAGGAGGGGGAGGAGGAGGGGGAGGAGAATTTCCGTAGCCATTTTGGCTCAAGCTGGCTCGAACCCCCCAGGCGCGGCGGTCGGGTGTGCGAGCATGGTGGCTGCGGGAGCCTCTGCGGCGCTTGGCGAGTATCTGGCGCTGAGAGGCAAGGCAGGGGCGCGCGCTTGTGCCGACAATTTGATTCAGAAGCTCACTGCAGAACTCATCGGGGTTCGAGTCGAACTCCAACGTGCACGGGAGCTGCAGGCTGCCCTCATCAACGCCCTCGGTGCCGACTCAGAGGTCTCTCGGCGAGAGGCCCTCGCGAGGCCCGTGCTGGCGGCGGAGGTGGCCGGCCTCACGGTGGAGGGGACGCAGAAGCTCATCCGGAACGTGGCCTTGCACGCCAAGCAGTGCCCCTGCGCAGATGCGCCGCTCTCAGAGTGGCGCCAGGCGCAGAAAGGCCCCCGCCTTGGAGGTGGCGGTCCTGGGCACAGCGAGGGGCATTCTTTCATTCCCGTGGTGTGCAAGTTGCTGGAAGGCCAGGGTGATTGCCCGCCACGCGCCCTCAGTGGCGGCTGCGTGTGGTAATCGGCTGTATTAGACCGTCTCCTTGTATCCAAGGCTGGCAGGCAGACCAACGAGCTCAGAGCGGATGCAGCGGAGTTCCGCCCTCCTCCTCAGCGGCCAGCCTTTCCTGGAGGCCATGTGCTTCGCGCGGGGGCAGCCGAGTTCATTCCTGGGGCGGGGCGGTGGGTCCCGATCGACGTGAGTTCGTCAATTGAGGGCTTTCGATGTTCGTGCGGCGCGGCGGTATTCTCCTCCGTGCCAGTCGGAGCCGTACCCTCCGTGCATCACTCTGTCCTGAAACTCAAGTATATCCGTGATATTGAACTGCAGTATTCAGTGCGATCAGATAGTCAGCCGAGACAACCGTTTTCTCACAAGAGGGCTCGTCTCGATTACATCCGAGATATTTCTTCACGGTGCAAGGTTGTGAACAGCCCGTCGAGACAACCGTGTCTCCGCAAGCGAGCTCGTTTGGATTACATTCGTGATATTTCTTCACAGTGCACTGTTGACGGCGGCAACCAGCTGAGCAGATCTTTCATTCGGAAGCGCGACCGGCTCAATTCTTGTGTCCGAGGGCGTGGCAAGGCGATCGGCCTGCCAGGTATCGCTCCGCCTGCGGACGACGCGAACTGTCCACAACAGGGATGTTCTGGCCTGTCTTTTGCCAGCAATCAGTTTGCGCTCTCACAGCGTATGCCTGCAGGCTTCTATTGATGAGAGTAGAGAGGTGTTGGGCTGGTGTGCGGCGCTGTGGCTCGGGCACCCGTCCGCGGAGCTACGGTTCGTGTGCGGCGCTGTGCTCGGCCACCCGTCCGCGGAGCCCAACAGAGCAGTTTTTTATTGATCATTTGCGCAGCTGCCTCGTTCCTGGAATGTAGCAGTGAAGGGAGAGCCACTGGAAAAGGGGGAGGAGGAGGAGGAGGAGGGGGAGGGGGAGGAGGGGGAGGAGGAGAGGAGGAGGAGGGAGGAGGAGGAGGAGGAGGAGGAGGAGGAGGAGGAGGAGGAGGAGGAGGAGGAGAAGGAGGAGGGGGAGGAGGGGGAGGAGGAGGAGGAGGAGGAGGAGGAGGAGGAGGAGGAGGGAGGGGGAGGAGGGGGAGGAGGGGGGGAGAGGAGGAGGGGGAGGGAGGAGGAGGAGGAGGAGGAGGAGGAGGAGCAGGAGGAGGATGGCGTCAGCCGGGGACGATGTGCGAGGTTCCAGGTGCGAGGTTCTCGCGCGAGGCGGGGATTCATCCAGATCCACCGCCCGGGAACCGACGTCCTGGTGCCCTACCGGGCGGCGGATGTGGATATGGTTCGGCCCCCGGGGGCCCGACCATGTCCAGATCCACCGCCTACCGAGGCTCCGAAGACTGACCCCCCAGGCGGTGGTCGTGTATAAATTCCCGCCTCAGTTTTCGGACGTTTTCCAGGTGCGATCGGCGAGGTTCCAGGTGCGAGGTTCTAGGCGCGAGGTCCCTGCTGAGGTTGGGTCGGGCATGTCCTGCTACAGACGGATTCTCGAAGGACAAATAGAAAAAGTCAAAACATCCCCAACAATTAGCAAACGTATAATGACAAATTGTCCCCAGACTATTTTTAGAACTATTTTCGAATATTCCTCCTGTAGAGGGATATGCCCGACTTCATGCTGAGGAGGGGCGTCAGCGGGAGACGATGTGCGAGGTTCCAGGTGCGAGGTTTTCGGACGTGTTCGTCAGTGCTCGGCGGGTTTAGTGGAGGGGAACCCCCCCCCCCCCCTCCCTAAGAATCACCCCGACACGCGAGGCCGTTTAGTGAACACGCCCAGAGAGGGAATCGAACAAGGCAGGGCTGCCTAGTAAAAGCCCAAGGCCGTTTAGCAAACGCCAACTGTCAGGTCCGGGTGTCTTTTCCTCCCCTGATTTACCGCCTCAGGGTGCCATCCAGCGGCTGCGCTTCGTCAAGAGCGTTCCAGGTGGCGGGCCGCCAGGGAGCCGAGCCACGACCCCACCTCAGAGGGAACGCTGTGGGGGGAAACGTCCAGCTGGAACCCGCGAGGCGTCCCCGGTAGATCGGCGATGTGCCCCCGATAGCGAATCCGTTCGTTCCTGGGCGGGGCCATCTGGCCCGTATCGGCGATGAAAGGGCGATTGGAGGTCGGTGCACCTCCCTCTGAGCCTATCTCGGGCTCGGAGGCGCGCAAACATAGAATAGCGATCCATGGATTTGGCGCGCGGTCGCCAAATCCATGGATCGGGGGAGGTGTCCTCCCCAAAGTGCGGCCGGTGCCGCCTCGCTCGGCGGCGGGAATCCGCGATTCCCCAGGGAAACGGGACCCGTCGGTAATCCACGCCCCCTTAATCCATGTTTGCGATCGCCTGGCTATCCACCCCCCCTCACGTTACCCCTGACATGCCCTAGGTCGGGCATGTCCCCCTACAGGCGGATTTTGGACGGAAAATACAACATATACAAAATTACCCCAGTGCGACCCTACCTAGAAGTTGGAGCCCCTAGGAAAGCAGCATTAGTTGCTATGCTATGCTATGCTATGCCATGCCATGCTATGCTATGATGTGCTGTGCTATGCTATGCTATGCTATGCTATGCTATGATATGATATGTTATGATTTGCTATGCTATGCTATGTTATGCTATGCTATGCTATGCTGCGCTATGCTATGCTAGGCTATGCTCTGCTATGATATGCAAAACTATGTTATGTCATGCTGCGCTGTGCTATGCTGCGCTATGCTATGCTATGCTATGCTAAGCTGCGCTATGTTATGCTGCGCTATGATATGCTATGCTATGCTATGCAATGACATGCTGCACTATGCTATGCTATGCTGGGCTATGCTATGATATGCTGTGCCGCGCTATGCTATGCTACGCTATGCTATGCTGTGCTCTGCTATGCTAAAGCTCAGCAAAGCTAATATTCAGGTAAGCTAAGCTAAGATAAACCTGAGCTAAGATGAAGCTACGCTAAGCTAAGATGAAATAAGCTAAGCTGAGATGAGATAAGCGACGCTAAGCTAAGCGGACGTAACTGGGGGAACCGCGGGGCGGATACTGGGGGAACCGCCCGGGGCGCTTTCCACTGCCTGGCCCCTTTAAGCCCAGAGAGTAAGAACCCTTCTAGGCAGAGCCTCGGTAGGGAACATGCGCCGAAAATAAACAAAAATATCTAGAAAAAGAAAATAGTATCCAGACTATTTTTGTTTGGGACTAGTTTTGGATTCTCCTCCTGTAGAGGGACGGGCCCGACTTACGACATGCCCTCGTGGTCTGGGCAAGGACGCGCGAACCCACGGATGCTCTCGGCGCGGGGCATCCGGGCAAGACCGCCCAGCATCCGTGGAGGAGTCCCTGACCGCGAGGCTAAGGACCTGGACCTGGACATCAGGCGCCTCCCTGCATTTCGAACTTTTCCCCGGGGCCAGTGTTTCTTCACTCTACAAGTTTGTTATGTATACATATAGCTGAATATATGTGAATACATATACTTGCATGTATATATATATATAAATAGATGTCTGTATGCATGGATGTCTGTCTGTCTGTCTGTTTCTCCGCCTGTCTGCCTGTATGGATGTATGTATGTGTTTATGTATATTGTGTGTATGCATGCATGTGTGTATGTATGTATGTGTGTAGATATGTGTGTGTATGCACGCACGTACGAACGTACATACGTACGTATGTACGTATGTATGTAGGTATGCATGTAAGTGCGTGTGTATGTAGGTATGTAGGCATGTATGTAAGCACGTCTGTATGTATGTATGTACGTACGTACGTACGTATGTGTGCACATATGTTTGTGTGCATATGTGTATGTACGTGTGTGTATGTATGTATGCATGTATGTATACATGTATGCATGCATGTGTGAAACTATGTATGTATGTATGTATACATGCATGCATGAATGTATGTATGTATGTATGTCTGTGTGTATGTATGTGTGTAGATATGTATGTGTGTATGCACGTACGTACGAACGTACATACGTACGTATGTACGTGTGTATATGGGTATGTATATAAGTGCGTATGTGTGTAGGTCTGTAGGCATGTATGTATGCACTTATGTATGTATGTATGTATGTATGTATGTATGTATGTATGTATGCGTGTATTTACGTACGTACGTACGTACGTACGTACGTACGTACATACGTACGTATGTGTGCATATATGTGTGTGTGTGCATCTGTGTATGTACGTGTGTGCATGTATGTATGCATGCATGTATACATGTATATATGTATGTGTGAGTTTAAGTATGTATGTATGTATACATACATGCATGCATGCATGCATGCATGTATGTATGTATGTATGTCTGTCTGTCTGTCTGTATGTATGTATGTATGTATGTATGTGTGTATGTATCTGTATATGCATGCATGCATGCATGCACGTATGCATGTATGCATGTATGCATGTATGCATTCATGCATGCATGCATGTATGTATGAATGTACATATGCACATATACATAGATGCAGGCATACATATCCGCCGGCCCCCTTGTGGGGCCACCAGGCTGTAGGACGAAGGTTCGCAGTTTCCTGTACCAGTTGCAGCTTCCAGTTTCCACTGTTCCAGTTCTGCTTCTTGCTGCTTACTGTTCCTTGTTGACTTCTTGCTGCTTACTGTTCCTTGTTGATGGACCGCGCGAGGGGGGGAGGCCCAAACGGGCAGGTTTAGCACGCCCTGAGCGTGTTGTCTGAATTGCTGGGGTGGGTAAAAATTAACACCCCTTACGCAGATCGGCGGGGTCAGGGTCCCAAAACACAGGGGATTTGCAACATTTCTGAAATTCGGTGGCACCCGCGACGAAGATCGGCGGGGTCAGGGTCCAAAAACAAAAAGGATTTGCCACATTTCTGAAATTCGGTGGCACCCCTCACGCAGATCGGCGGGGTCAGGGTACAAAAACACATGGGATTTGCCACATTTCTGAAATTTGCTGGCACCCCTTACTCAGATCTGTAGGGTCAGGGTGCAACAACACATCGGATTTCCTACATTTCTGACATTCGGTGGCACCCCTCACGCAGATCGGCGGGGTCAGGGTGCAACAACACATAGGATTTCCTACATTTCTGACATTCGGTGGCACCCCTCACCCAGATCGGCGGGGTCAGGGTACAAAAACACATGGGATTTGCTACATTTCTGAAATTCGGCGGCACCCCTCACGCAGATCCGTAGGGTCAGGGTACAAAAACACATGGGATGTGCCACATTTCTGAAATTCGGTGGCATCCGCGACGCAGATCCGTAGGGTCAGGGTCGAAAATAAACAGGTCCCGACACTGCTTCACGGCGGAGACCAGACCTCATGATTCAGCATTTGCATCTCCCATTATCCGAGACAGGGGGCCGGCGGCATGGGGCGAAGCCCTTACGGATATACATGTGTATATATGTATATACTCACAGTTACTCACATATATGTATATGTATATATATACACACACATACATATTTTTAAAAAAAAAAAAAAAAAAAAAAAAAAAAAAAAAAAAAAAAAAAAAAAAGTATAAAAAACGCCAGGCCTCCAAGGTTCTGGTGTTCCCTGGGTATCCCGCCGCGCGTCCTCGACGAAGGACAACTGCGGCCACCGGGCCCCGGGCCCCAGGGGGCCCCGTGCTCCCTGGGCATCCCTCCTCGCTGTCTGGGCTGAGGATCGCTCGAAGCAAAAAGACTAGTCCTGTGCAGTTTTGTGGATGGCTCCAGGAAGTCCGAAGGCGACACCCAGGCACCCACGGCGACGAACACTGGCCGCCTCGATTGCTCCAAGGCGCCGGGTGTCGTATCAGATTGGGGGGGGGCCGAACGGTCACTCACTGCCGCCAGGCGCGTGGTTGAATAGGGGCTCCGCGGTGCCGATCGACGTTGCGCGTTGTTGTAGTCGTCGTCATCGCCCGCGACCCACCCCGCGACCCCCCCCCTCGCGGCCCCCCCCGCGACCCACCCCGCGGCCCACCCCGCGGCCTATCCACCACCCGCCTGCCCCGACCCGCGCCGGCCCCCTCACTCTGATCCGCAGCTGCGGGGTGCTGCGCACTCGACGGGGCAAAGGGGGGCTCTCCCGAGTCCTTTCTCCCGAGGCCGGCCCCCGTGCTGGATGCGCAGCAGCATTGGGTCGGGCACGACCCCCTGCAGGCGCATCTCGGAAGAAAATCCCAGCAGAGGTAGGAAAAACAAAAGACAGACAGACATATATTGAAGAACTCGTCCCCGGACCTTTTTGTTGGGCTATCTTTGGCTACTCCTCCCGTAGGGGGGACGCGACATGCCCGACGTAAGTCTGGTGCTCGGGCCTCTGCAGGCGGTGGGCCGGGACGGCGCAGAGGCCGCCCCCGGCAACAGCGCTCCCGGCGGCGCGCAGCTGCCGGGAGGCACCCCTGGGGGCAGAAGCGCCTCCAAGAGCCAGCGAGCACGTCCGCGGGCCCGTCCTCCCTCCCTCGCTCCCTGTCTCCCTCCCTCGCTCCCTGTCTCCCTCGCTCCCTGCCTCCCTCCCTCCCTCCCTCCCTCCCCCGCTCCCTCCCTCCCTCCCTCCCTGCCTCCCTCCCTCCCTCCCTCCCTCCCTCCCTCCCCCGCTCCCTCCCTCCCCCCCTCCCTCCTCTCATCTCTGGAGGGCCCCTTCCGAGAGGACCTGTTCACCTCGCGGCGCCAGGTGTATGATCTGCGAATTCCTCCCCGGACCCCTCCAGGGGAGCGCGTTCTGACCAGGACTTCAATGCGAAGCCCCCCCAAGAGGTCCAAGAAACCGAAAACGAGGGAAGGGTAACAATAAGCGATCGTTTTTGTTGATCATGTCGGCGATGACCTGGGTGATCTGGTGGAGGGCGGGAGGGGGAGGTGCCGGCCGATAAAACGTAACATTTTCGCTTTGGGCAGCCCCACGTAGGCCCGCGAGCACCAACACAGTCGGCCTTGATTGGACAGGACACGCGAGAGGGCACGAGACCCTTCCGAGGGCCACATCGCCACAGGAGTGTAAGAAGGCACGTGTCGCCAGGCACAGGACACAAGGGGTACCCTGGAGCTGGCAGGGTCGACCTACTAATCCGGGCTGGCTGTGCTGCGCACCCCCTTCGCACCTGCGTAGCCAACAGGGTGGGGGAGGGAGGGGGCGGGCGGGCCTGCTGCCGCGGCTTCTCGCCGGACCCTCACAGAACCAGCCTCCTCCGAGAGTTTCCCGCCCGCGCTCTTCACCCTGCTCTTGCAGTAGGTCCGGCATGTCCCCCTACAGGCGGACGGGCTTTGGACGAGAATTTAAAAATACGCAAAACAAAAACCAGAGAGTCAAAACACACCAAACAAAATCGTCCCCAGACCATCGTGATTTCTGGCTCTCCCTCCTGCAGGAGGGACAAGCCCGCCTCACCGCTTGCACTTCGCACCGGGTCCCTGGTGCCCGAGGCCGCCCGCGCCACCCTCCCCCGCCGCTTCTCGGCGCACGGGCCTCCCTCGTCCTTGGGCGCCTTCGCTCTTACGGCGCCTTCGCGCCCCACGCCCGGCGCTTTTGTTTGATTCGCGGGTCGAGAGCGCACCTCTTCCGGTCGAAGATAAGCGGGCCGCGCGAAGCTTGAATTAACCAGAGATGGGGGACCCCACGCCCAGCGCGCCCCGCCGGATCCCGCCAGTACCGACCCCGCGCCTGCGATCGCCGGCGCTGCCGGTGGACTCGGCGCTGGCAAGACGGCAATCGACGCTGCATCGGCGCTGATCGACGCCGGATCGGCGCTTTCTCATCGACTACCCGGCGCCAGCGCACGCGAACGCACTCTGAAGACGGAGTTGCCAAGGCTGTGCAATGGACAAGCGCGCTCCACTTCTCGCAGAAAGTAACTACTCGCAAATGCCCTGGATCCGCCGAATGGAATCTGCGATCCATTGCATCGAGGCTGACGTTTTTTTTTGTCCCCGGACGTTTGCGAGTAAGCACTTTTTTCTTTTTGCGAGCAGTGGAACGCGCTCGGTGATTTACAAGGCCCCCCTGACATGCCATCGAACTCTGCGTCAGAAGAGCAACAAAACGGCATCAACTTGAACTTTCGCCGGTCCGCGCGGATTCCTTTGATCTGAGCTGGACCCCCCTCCCTGGCGCGCGGAGCGCGCCAGGGGCGGCGCTGGAGGCGCCGCTGGGGGGGCCCAGCGCGGATCCAAGAAACCCGAGCGGAGCGCCAAAAGTTTTTGGTCATGGCGTTGTTGCTTCTTCGGTGAGTGCTCCCCGCCCGCGGGAGCCGCCAGCGAGCTGGTCGGCGATGAGGCGCAGGGCCCTCCTCTCTAGGAACACGGAAATGCGACACCAGCACGACCAGGGCGAGGAGATGCGAGAAGCAAAGGGGGGTCTCCCTCGTGGTGTGGTCCCCCCCTCCTCCCGCTCGAGATATGCCCAGCCGCCTGCTCGGGGAAGCATCGTGGACCTCCTCGCTGAAGGTGGCCCCCCGTGGGAAACGAAAAGGTACCGATAACGCTACCTCCAAGACCTCCCCCGGGGTGCGTTCTGACCAAAATTCAAGGCGAATCCAGCGGTGGCGACGAGGTCCTCCCAGGAGGCCCGAAAATAAGGAAAACAGCCGGAGGGTAGAGGTATGGGTACCTTTTCCTCCTCTGGCCCCTGGTGGTGTTGATGTCGCTTTTCTTGAGCAAGGACCGACCGTCCCAGCATTCCTATGGGCCTACCACGACATGTTCTTTAAACCCGAAAATGTTCGAATAACCAATACAATGTTCTTAGAACATGAACCCGATGCGCTAAAACAAGACAGTCTGAACTAGAAACGATCCAAGAACATCTCGTGCAAACCGCAATGGCTCTTAGACCATTCTTTGGTGGGCCTATAGGCAAGCCAAGACGCTTCACCACTGCTTGACTATTGATGGGCCTATTTTCCACCACTACTGCCATAGGCAGGACGGGAAAGAAGGAAGTATGGGGAGGTCTCCTCTTTCTCTTATTTCTACTCTTTCTCATCCTCCTCCTCCTCTTCCTCCTCCTTTTCCTCCTCCATACCCTATTTATGGTAGTGGTGGTGGGAAATCGGCCATGCAGTATTGGTGGTGGTGCCGCTTCTCCCCCCCATACGACCTCTCCGTCTCAGTGCAGCGGGGCCGCGCGGCATCGCCCGGCTCTGGCTGCGGACCGCCGTCCATGTGCCGACCGGCCGTCCGCGCGGGCACGGCCGCGCGCCGTGCGCGAGCCGCACCTTGGACCACGCGGCCCTGGCCGCAGCGCCGCGCGGCACCGACAGCGCCAGCATCAACATCACCATCATCCGCACAAGCATCCTCATCCTCATCCTCATCATCCTCATCATCATCATCATCATCATCATCATCATCATCAGCATCATCATCAGCATCACCAACAACATTATCATGTTCGTCGTCATCATCATCAATAGCATGATCATCGTCCTTACCGTCAGTACCATCGCCATCACCATCACCATCATAATCCCCATCAGCATAATCCTCATCCTCCTCCTGTTCCTCCTCCTCCTGTGCCTCCGCATCATGTTCGTCATCATCACCACCGCCACCATCACCATCGCAATCATTGGTCAACACCATCGTATGCCTGCACACGAGGCCAGGGCGGGGACAGCATCTGACGAGGATGCATCGGGAATCTCTGCAGGGGGAAGCGGGCCCTGGACATGGATCTTCAGCCGTCGCGGTCTTCCCACGGCGTGGGCCCCAAGAGGCTTGGGCCAGGACGAGGAAAAACTCCGGGGGAAGGTCGATCGAGAATCTCTGAGGTCCGGCGGTGCTGGAGGATGTGTCTGGCGCCGCGGCCTCCGCGGAGCGCTCCCGCACGCTCTGGGAGCGTTCCAGAGAATGCTCTGGAACGGATGTATCCTTGTCCTGGCGCCGCTCGATGTCTGTCTGTCTGTCTGTCTGTCTGTCTGTCTGTCTGTTTGTCTATATGTCTGTCGGTCTGTCTGTCTGTCTGTCTGTCTGTCTGTCTGTCTGTCTGTCTGTCTGCCTGTCTGTCTGTCTGTCTGTCTATATGCCTGTCTGTCTGTCTGTCTGTGTGTATCTCTCTCGTTTGTTATTTATTTCTTTCTTTTGATGTGTTGTTCTCTCTCTCTCTCTTTCTCTCTTTCTCTCGAACAATCTAAGCATGAATCCCACAACGCACACGTGGCAAGAGGAAGCGGATCCTCTCCCTCTCTCGCTATTCGAAGCGAACGCCACTTCTGAGCAGCGTCAGGCAGCGAGCGGCTGATGGCCAGAGCGTGCAGCGGAGAGCCAGCTGCACCACGTCGACGGCCAAAAACCAGCTCGCCCGCGTGCGAACGGTGTGGAAGGCGGGCTGCGCCCTCATCCCCTCGTGCGTTGCATAAAAAGGAAGGGCTCCCTCTCTGGGGAACAATGTGGCCTGGGGGGGGGGGGACAGGAAGAGGTTCCACAGCCCCGGAAGTTTAGACTGCTTGTCTGCCCCCTCCAAACGTTCCTCGGCCCCTGGCGAAAAACCCTCCGAGACCACGATGCAAAAGCAAAGCGATCCTAGAGAAGGACCCATGTATTATGCAATTGTGAATACCGTCGTTGTGGGTATCGCCTCCGGTAGATCTTTGTATAGGGCCACGAAGCGTGGGCAGGGTGTGCCGAAATGGGGCGGGCGCGGGCGCTGCGGCCTGAGGTGGAGCCCCCCTTTTTATGGGGCCGCAGAAAGTGTCAGCGGTGCGCCGACACGGGGCGGAGCTGCAATGCGGGCGCTGCCACTGGCCCCTTCGGGGGAGCTCCCAACTGGGCCACGAAGCGTGCGAGGGGTGTGCCGAAATGGGTGGCCGGGACACATCCGAA